TTGGCCGCTTCCTCGGGGCTCCCATCCTCCCCTCGAACAGGTGGTCCCGCCAGCCTTCAAATTATGCTCGCTCAACTATACCGAGCCCACGTTCCGCTCGACGCGGTACTTGGCCCTGAGCACAGTGCGGTCAGAGACATGGTCTCCTTCCCCGCCACCCTCTATCTCCCCAGGGCCCGATCTTGTCTGCTTCCTTGAGGCTCTTGTCCTCTCCTCGAACATCCTGTCCCGCCCCCGTCCCCCCAACCTTCCAAAGAAGCCCATGCCAACACGCGTTTAGACGACATCTGCGTTTAGACGACATCTGCAGGCACGACCATGTTACTGGACTGGCCGCCTTCACGAACACTATGACGCATCTGGACCCCTTCCACCCCCTCTCCCGCCACCATCCCGCTCGATCCCCAACGATCACCAGCTTCGATTGGCCTCCTCAACCTTGCTGCCTAGTTTCCGGTGCGCGACTCCTGCGTCTTGAGCGAGGGAGCACCTGCTTGAGGTGATGTCCATCGAGCAGCACCCGCTGCGGACTGGTTTGGCGTGGCGACAAAAGACAATGACTGGGGAGCGGATGTAAGGGCAACCCTGGAGACTCCGACGAAAGCCTAGCAGGGGAGGATCCAAAGCGTGAATAAAAGCTACGGAAATACATGGAGGGACCGACCTAGCAGGGGAGGATCCAAAGAGAAGAAACTCTAAGGGTCCGCCTGCTAGGGCGCCAACTATATAGTGGTCGTCCGTAACTGCCAACGTAGAGCGCAGAAGGCCTGAGCGGCGTCGCAAGCTCTGTCCAGGGGAGGATCCAAAGCGTGAATAAAAGCTACGGAAATACATGGAGGGACCGACCTAGCAGGGGAGGATCCAAAGAGAAGAAACTCTAAGGGTCCACCTGCTAGGGCGCCAACTATATAGTGGTCGTCCGTAACTGCCGACGTAGAGCGCAGAAGGCCTGAGCGGCGTCGCAGGCTCTGTCCCAAGGTGATCGTTGGGAGGGTCTTGACGGATCGGTGATTGTGCGGGCGAAGGAGGCCGTGGACGATGGTCGGGGTGGGTCGGAGCGTCCGAGGGGGCGCCGGTCGGATGCGCCTCGGATGCGTTCGGAGGGTCCGAAGGAGGCCAAAGCGGGGGTTCCCCTGACAGCGGAGGCAAAATGCAAAGACGCGTGATGTGGCAATGGGAGCCATCGGCGATCAGCGATCACGCCAATCAGCTTCCGTTGCCACGTCAGACTGCCACTCTCCTGCGACCACCAACCCCCTACTCGCGAAGCCCCAGCCATGCGTCACCCGACTTACGCACCCTCACGCAGGCAAGCACAAGCGGATAGACAAGGACGTGGCCGCGTAAGCTCATCGTTCTTGTAAGGGGAGCATGTGATGTGACGGCTGTGACTGATCACGTGACTGGTCCGTGCGCAGATAGCCCTGTACTTAAGTAGTTGGCCGTGGGGCTGTTCCCCCGGCTTTGGTATCAACTAGGCACCTGGACCCTCATCCCCTGACAGCATACCAAAGCCTCTATATCAACTCTGGCACTCTTCTAGCCCCAGTTGATCCTCTCTATCTCCTATATTCGTCCTCACCCTACTGTGCTTGCCTGCTCTTCTCCAATGACGACTCCTGGCGTTCCTGTTGACCTGTATTCGTACTGCCTGCTCCTGCAGAGCGAAATTACTCGCCTCACCGACCGTCTAGACCGCCTTGAGTATGGTACGCCTGCTCCACCCCCTGCTCCCCCTTCCCCTGGTCCTACGTTCCACGGTGTCTGGGATGGCAGTCGCTGGGTTCTTCCAACAGTCCCGGCCCCTACCCCTGCCGTCATTGCTGCCGCCCACACTTCTATACCACTTGCCGAAACCTTCCCTCCTACTGCGCCTGATACTGTCACGCTTCTCTTGTACGCTTGTGGTGCCTGACTCGGCTGTCGGGCATATCGTGGGTCGTGGCGGCAAGGGTCTCCACCAAGCTCACGACACTTCCGGTGCTCAGTTTGCGCGTACTCTGATCCGCTGCGCCTGGCGAGCGCCGGGTCTCTATCCGGGGAACCGACCAGCAAATCGGTGAAGCGCTTATTGCGCTTGGGAAACGGTTCATGCGCAAGCGTGTCCGTGCGAAGAAGCAACGTCAGCCACCGTCTGCTGAGGGACCTGCCCCCCCCTCCTCCTGCCGCGCCTGTGCCTGTACCACGTGCCACGAAGATGGATGTCGACCGTGCCCCTCCGCACCCTTCGTCCACCGTGATCCACGCCCAGTCTCAGGTGCCCCGCGCCACTACTGCGGTTCGACCTGCCACTCATCCGAGGGCCTCGGCCGCCGGTGGGCCAGCTGGGCATTCGCGACTGTCTTCCCCCCTCTTCCCGTCTTCCCTACCCCGCCAACCTGCTGCCGCCACTACCCAACCTATGCAGGCCGCGGCACCATCTCTTCCTACCCCCCAGCCTTACCCTACTCCCTTCGCCCCTCGGTGGTTATGGCCACCTCCGTCGGCGCTGACCAGTGCGTCACCTACCCCGATCGGCTCTCCTATGCAGATCGACGTAGCTCACGCCCGGCCGCGTAACCGGCAGACCGCCCGACGAGGGGGGCGACCTGCGCCAGTCATCGCGCGTCATAGGCGACAACCTCTATTTCCCTGGCGATCCCGAATACGAGTTCGCAGAACCCTACACTCCGCCTATCCGTCGAGGCGACGGATCTTGAGGAGGGGTTGGTGTAAGGGGAGCATGTGATGTGACGGCTGTGACTGATCACGTGACTGGTCCGTGCGCAGATAGCCCTGTACTTCAGTAGTTGGCCGTGGGGCTGTTCCCCCGGCTTTGGTATCAACTAGGCACCTGGACCCTCATCCCCTGACAGTTCTGCTCATCGTTCTGGCTGGCTGATCTGGGTCAGAACGATGAGCTTACGCTGCCACGTCTGCCCATACCATATACGAAGCCCCCTTCACTACCGCACCCCTTACCCCTCACTCCATCTCGTCCCTCTCTCGCTCCCGCTGCATTCTCTCGCTGGTTAAACGAACGAGCCCTCAGCACTCGCCACCGCTCTGCAACTGATCGAGCTGGCTGCTTTCTCCTTTGCTTTGGCAGAAGACCTATGAGCTGGGACGTCCACATTGAGGCCACCATCTCCGTTTCTGTCACGGTTCGGGTCGGGCCGTCCGGGCCATAAGGCCGCACGGGCCCAAACGGGACTTCTCCACTGACTTGTCTGGATAGATTGCACTGATTCTCGACTACTTTTCTCGAGTTCTAAATGTGGACCTGCACGACTTTCCAGATGCTCACCTTTCTCTTCTCATCCATGAATGTGTTGACTATCAAGAACTCCGCTTCAACCAAGACAACGACTCCCTGCCAGCGTGCGCTATGCCGAAACGGCTTTAACTGAAATTTGCACCAAATTTCAGAAGATTCAAACGGCTCAATGGCTGGCGGTTGGACTCTCCTTTCCTCTGGTTCTGCAGGCTAATCACTATATGTAGAATGCACCTAGTCGGCAGTACTCCACACTGGAGGATATTATACTGCCTTGGGGACACGAAGAGCCAGATGATGGTGAGAGTATCGATAACGATGGCGACTTTGTAATGGAGGACGTTGAGGCGGAGTTAGAAGAAGGCCTCCAGACGCTTCAAGAACACCTACGTTTATGGGAAGCAAGCGAGCTGCCCTATATCCCACAGGCCCATGCTACCGAGAGACCGTTGAGCGAGATTCGTCAACGGGCGCATCACCTCTTTCACCGTGTCTGTGTTACTATACTATTATTTGCTCCGTTTGACCTGCTCTATAGGCCATTCCATGGACAGATCAGGCCGATGACATTGGCGCTTTCAAAATGGAGCTCGCTGAGGTGGTGGATGACTTGGTCTGGCTTTGGAAAATCAAACCAAGTGTGTATAAGAAGGCTGAATTTCAGGAAGAGTGGAAGGTATTTCTGGTTATGTCTAGAGACTCTTGTCTCACCATTTCTATATCTCTGGTCTGCGCCGCTGGATGTATTTGTTTTGCGAACCTGGTAACTTGATCGAGTTCAGCCAACACGATAGGCTGGTTCAGTCATTCCGACAATATAACTGGAAGCTGGCTTACGTTCTCTTGCTCGATCGCTGGGAGCCAGCTGTCATTTCCCAGTCCAACTCCTCTCCAGTTCGTTCATTTCTCTGCTTTATTGTTCGCTTCTCAACAAAATTCAGCGTCCATCTCGGTTGATTGATCCCGCAATCGGAAACACCCAATTCGCTCCCGACTTTCTGGACTTCTTAAGCACCACACATGAAATGCAGCCTTGGTCATACAACCCCATGGCGGCCTTCATGTTCATGTCGCAAGCCGTGTTTGCTATCAATTGGCGCCGGTGGATCAAACCACATCTCAAGACTTGTATGCAATGTTATCCAGGACGGGCGCGCTGGAAGACGGTCAGTCAAAAGGCATGACACGAGTCGTCACTAACTTACCTGTCAGAATCCGGACCATTAAGACCCACACATGGTATACAACCATGTAATGGGCTATGTTGTTGTTCCTCGGCCTGCTCGCAAAGATATTCCACCACATCAGGTAGTTCGAGATGAAGCTACGATATTCGTTGAGAACCTTGACCCTCGGTTGCGAACAATCACCACCAAATCTCTCTGGCAGCGCAGTCTTCTCGACAATGTGAAGAACCAACTTCATCATAAGCCAGCACTGGACACGAAGGGCAAGGGGGTAAAAAGGGAGCGGGATGAGTCTTCAACTTCAGAGATTCGGTTAGGCGGTGAAGGACGCAGCTCGCGTAAGAAGCGTAATCGGACCCAACGCGCAGGACAATCTGCCCATACCGGAGAGCAGCAGCAAGCCAACGAGAACTCTCGCACCGTTTATTCCCGAACTCCCGCGGTGTGTTGTTGACCATGGCGTTGGTTCCGACGTATCATTTGAGGTTCTGACTCAAAGCATGAAGATCAATTAGACAGCAGATATCAATACAGTACAACAAGCGAATGCGATCAACCTACTCCGAAGGACCTGTAGGTTTTCTACTACTCCCTCCCAGCTGCACATCCACGCTGGAGCTCCCCTCGCCCATCGAGTCCGGTCTCGGCTGCGGCAAGACATATGGAGGCGGCAGCTCCTGCATGTGGATTACCGCGCCGGGGCTGCTCGCGCTCGGCGACGTCTGGCCGCTCGTGCTCGGGCTGTGGCTGTGGCCCCCATACGACGTCGACGCCCGTGACACACTCATGGGCATCGACATCGCTTTACTCCACCGCGCCCCGCTCTCTGCGAGCAGGAACGGCGTCACGGGCGCCTCCACATGGGGCGAGTTCCCGCCGAGGTTGATGGAGCTCGGGGATGAGCGCATAGGAATGAGGAGCGGGGGCACGAGTGGGTATGGGTCGAGTTCTGACTGGATCTTCTGGCGTCGCATGTGCTTGTGAGCGAGACAGAGGGCGAGCGACAGGATAAGGACCACGGTGCCTCCAAGCGAGGCTCCGACGATCGTGGGAGTCCGCCAGGAATCGTTGTTATGACTTGACGCCGGTGCCGTAGACGGAGACGGAGAAGGAGAAAGAGAAGAAGATTGGATAGTGGACGATGGAAACGTCGTTATCCGCGAAAGATTCGTAGAGGAGGAAGTAGTTTGCGGACTCGACGGTGGCCGAAGCGAACTGGAAATTCCTAGCCCCGGAATCGTCGCATTCGTGCCGGAAACAGTTCCAAGACCAGTACAGTTCAGGTCCGTCGATCCACTCGTTTTGACGAATGGACTTCCGGTTGCCCATCGCCCCGTTCTATACGCGCACAAAGGTTAAGCACTCGCCAGTGAATCATCAATGAAGACGTACGAGTCGCTGACACCCGCTATTCAAAAATAGCACGGGAAGATAAGTAACCCGATGCCGAGACGATTTGCTACATACCAATCATCTGCGACCCCGGGTTTCCACGATTGATATACTGAAGGACCGTGTCCGCCGGGCCTATCAATCGGGGCGAAGTTAATGCCTATCTCGTCAGAGGAAGACTGCGTACCCATAGTAGAATTTGTCGCGAATGCCGTATTAAGCTGCCCAATGGTGACTGTATACGGTGGCTTCCCCCCGTTGACGAAGATATTCCATGGGTCGCAAGTATTTATTGTTGCACCATTGGGAGTCGTGGAGGATGCTGTAAATGGCGGGCCCTTGTCTGGCGGTGGAAGGCAGGCATTACTTGACCCCGCTACAGTTTGAGTCAGTGGGAGAGACTCATCGTGAGGAGAGTGCCAGACGCACCAATGACCGTGTAAGCGAAGATATCAATTCCAGCACTCGTCCCTTGTGAATCGACAACCTCCAAAATCAATTGGGTGCCTAAGAAAATCAATAGGTATACGACCAGAGGGAGATATGGAATGCTACCAACCGACAGGATGTCTCACTGTCCACGAGAGAGCACTGGCGTTTGTCCCAATGGGCGAAGTCATTGGCGTCGAGCCCGCAGCCAGGGAGATCATGTAAAACGGGGGAACCCCAGGCTTGCCTGCGGGTGGAGGGGTCTGCTCGATGGCAATGGGGAGGGAGTCGCAGAGCGCCAGAGACATCGACACCTACGGCGCTTTGAGAACGGCCAGAAGGATGAGAGAAGACCGCCCACGCACCGAAGAAGTAAAGCCCCACGTGAACTCCTGCTGGCCGAGCACGCCAGCGACGACGGAGAGAGCGAGCAGAAGACGCGCATGACTCGACATGGTTGTGGGTGGACGGTCGGAGCGTCCGCGTCGGGCGTGTGGCAGTGGAGGGTGACTATAAGTAAGCGCCGCGGAATTGCATCCGCCCAGGGCCAGAAAGCTCGAGAGGAAGGACCGACGCACAGCTTCCTTCGTTTTGATCCCCGCCAGCATGCCGAAGGGAAAAATGGTCGCGTAATTTCCTTAGTTTGGCGCTCCGGAACGAGAGAGGGATTATCGTGTCCTGCTTGACTTGCCGCACAGTCAGAGCTTGGAGGGTAGGGTCTCTGGGTGTCTGAGAAAGAGCTGGACGGCGCCATCCACTCAACTATTGCTGTTGACCCTCGGTGAGAGCAGCGCATCGCGGAGAGGTGGGAGTCTCAAAAAAAAGAAGGCATCACACGTGTCTCCGATATGATCGCCGTTTGAGACCGCCCGGATTCCTGCCTAATCAGTATAGAATGGGACCAAATTGACGGAGGAAATGATGCCTGAGTCATCGCGTCTGACATGTCCTCTCTTTGGTGAAAATTTTCATCCGTTTGTGCTGAAGGTCACTCTCAACAATACTACAATGTTACCCACTATGTAAACCTAGCGTAGCCTTATAAACCTCGTGCTCCGCTCCCAACTGGAATCGTTATCATACATGCTCGTACATGTTATCGTAGTATCGTATCTACCGCGCGACTTTACATTCGTAGAGTAAGTAAATTGTCATTGGTCTGCCGCCTCACGCCTTCTCCACGCTCGCCTTCTCCTTCTCCTCCGCGGTCTCCTTCTCGTCGGTGCTTGAAGTAGCTTTTGCGACGCCGACCTCGGAGTCGCCCACTTTGTCCATGACGTCCCGGAAGCGGGGCACGAAGTTGCAGCAGGCGGCGTAGACGAGGGCGACGACGTGGAACATTGTGGGCACGACCATGGCGAGCGCGGTGTTGTTGTGGATGTCAGCGACCTTCGCGGTCAGTGGTGGGACTGGGCGTTGTCCGTCAGTACAACCTCTATGGCAGCATGAAAGATATACGCACTGCAAGCTCCACCGACGACACCCGCGACAATCCATCCACTGCCACGCTTGGTGTGCCTGCCGATTCCACGGATACCCAGGGCCACGATGGTCGGGAAACATACACTCTCGAAGAACAATGCGACAAAGAGCATCGAGATACCGGTGTTGCCCCTCTGCGTAATGGACGCGGCGGTGAAGATAACGACCATGGTGATGTAGAAGAGGAACACCAGTCGGGGCCGGATGTATGTCATGATGAAGGATCCTGCAAATCGCCCGACCGCAAAAGATCCTTGACCACCAGCGAGGAGCTTGGCTCCAGTCGCGGACGACGTGTTGGCTCGGGTTTCGATGGCATAGTTAATGAAGTACGAGGCAATCGCAACTGGAGGGAAGTCAGACGGGAATTACAACGAACGAAGCAAAACCCGTACCCTGAGCACCCACGTAGCAGAATTGGGCGAAGGCGGCAAAGAAAACCTTGTACTGACGCCAGAAAGATTGGCTGTTCACGTCCTCGATAGCATCAGCGTGTGTCAGCTCCATCTGCTGCGCCATATCAAGATCTAGAACAGAGCTTTAGCCTTAGCCTCGAAGAAAACTTGAGGACGCACCAGTAACCTCAGGAATGACGGAGAAGAAGAAGACGACAGCGAGAACGAAGACGAAGATGGCGATGGCAAGGTACACCCATTGGACAGTCTTTAGTGAGTCGACGGAGTCTCCAGTATCTTTGAAGAATACGTAGGATCCTGACCGCTTATTCAGTCTTCACGACCTTGCTATGCACGAGAAAACATACCCAAGACAGGTCCAACGACAGTGCCAACCGCCTGAACGGCTTGCGCCAGGTTGATACGCAGCTCAGCATACTTCGGCGGGCCGGTGACAGCCATGTAGGGATTTGCAGCGGTTTCCAAGCATCCCAACCCGGAACCGATGATGAATGTGGCCCCACAGAAGCCGCCAAAGGAACGTTTCAAGCCAGCGGGCCACATGAGGAGGGCACCGACGCCATAGAGGACAAGACCTATGCAAATCATTAACCTAGGGTTCTGTGCGATGGAGTCGGAGTGAAAAGATGCTCACCCAGAATAAATGTGGCCCGGTATCCGTATTTCCGCAGGACCCAGTTACCATAGCCCAGAGAGGCTAGCGGGTATGCCCCGAAGTAGGCACCTTGCAGACCGGAAGAACGCGTGCGGGTAATGTGGAGGGTAGTTTGGAAGTGTCGGTTGAGTGTGTCAAGTAAACCATAGGCAAAACCCTGCGAGCAGGTAAGCAATTAGAATAAGACATGAGGAACAGCTGGGGACGCACCCAGAGGAAGTATAGGATCGTCACCAAGAACAGCGGCCACAGCGTCTCCCTCAGCGTCAACTTGGCCGCGTCCGTCACCCGGTCCCCGACTTTGAGGGAGTGCGCCTTGAACAGCGGCTCCTTCTTGCGTTCCTGTTGCTTTTCGTTGGTGCTCATCGCGGGGAGTGGAGGCGGGGCCGATGCTGCAGCGGGGCGAGAAGCAAGGGAAGCAAGCTTGGCGGGTCAGTTACGGTCCGTTGCTTTTATGTCGAGAGTCCCGGCCATGCGGCAGGGACTGGCGGTCATGAGGACCTTTTTAGCTTCTTGACTTCTGTAATTCAGTCGCATGGGCATCGCTAGAATTGGAACATGCTGTGGAGAAGTTGGACCACGGGAGCTCGACAGCCGCGGGAAGGTCACTCCACTAAGAAAAAGGACCCAGTCCAGGAACATTGGCCCACGCTCTGGCGTGCGCTCGTCATTTTCGGTGGTGTTGAAGACTGTATAACAGCCTAAATGTTCTCAAATACGAGGCACCAAGCCGCCAGAATCGACTGTGTCGGCGGTAAGAAGGAAGAAGTGAGCCACGTAAGCTGTCAGCTGATGTCATGACACGCGCGTCACGCGACAACGTGATGTCGGCTTGCACAACGGCGTTCCCCCGGCGCTGATCCCTGGGGCTGGTGGACTGAGGGGATGTCGAGTTGGGCGGTTGCCAAAGTGAGATGCGAGAGACTTTTCGTCCTCGGTCACCGAATTTCGCGGGGAATGCGCCTATACTCAAATTCATGGTTTTCGGCGCTCGCAACAGGTACCAGGGAACGTTCGACTCGGGTTAGACTGGGTTACCTGCGATAAAAGTCAAATCAAGTCAAGTGACGTCGACGTCCCTAGCCGATCTCCCGGATCGTCGCCCGATGATGAAATCAGCGATGGCCTCGAGCACACGTGAGCGTTCCACGATGCTCGCGTCCAACTAGTTTTAAATCTTAACTCACGTTTTCAGCCACAGCACCTGGATGTACCTACCCAATACTTTGGGGAGTATGATGGATATGGACTAGGGAACTAGGAAATACTGGCGTACTTTGCACATTGGGAATCGCCCTATAACCTCTGAACGGTCAAGTGTGCGACAGCAGATCATGGCCGTAATTTTGCCTTGGCTAAGGACTTAATTAGTTATGGGGATCTCATCGGCTTTGGCGCGGCGGAAAGAATTCAACATCATCGCCGCATAATGAAGAAGAATTAGATTTTCCTCAGGCACCAGATTCTGTCTACGTATCGCGGTCCCGTGCCAACTGACACCCACCCTTGGCCTTCCCACTCATTCCAGCTACCGGCTGCCATGCGTGCGGGCGGCGTTGTGCGTTTAGTGCGGAGTAACCCAGATAAAGGACTAGCGCACAGGCCACAATCCAAACAAGTGCCTTGTGCACCCGAGATCTGGCGTTGACCGGAACAGTTGCTTCGTACGTGACACGCTCTTCTTCCTGTTTGGATCCGAACGACGGCACGGTTATAGCAGGGAACGGAGAGTACCCACGGGCTCCAGCTTCGTCGATGGCAGATATGTCGTCCTCCGTGAGTTCTGCGCAAGGTTATGATTGGCTAAACTAAGAATGATGTGAGTACACGCACCGATATCTCCCGCGTTCAGGTACCCCAGCAAGCGCTCCTTCTTCGAGCTTGTCGTGACGACCACAGCGCCTTTCGCTTTTGTCCACGCCAGCAAGACTTGGTCGTCCGAGACTCCGAGACGTGACCCGATTGCTTTAACGGGCTTGTCTACGGGTCCGCCGGGCCGAGAGGTTATCGGGCTAGACACATCCCAATCAAAACTCACAGGCCGCACCAAAATAGCAAGATAGGACGTACATCAGCGCGCTATACGCCTCGATAACGATGCCGTGCTTCTTTGCAAAGTCGAGAATGGGCTTCTGTTGCGCGTAGACGTAGGGGTGGAGAAGAATCTGGTTGGCCGCGGGTTTGACCTTTGCGGAGGCGAGAAGCACGACGAGGTCCGCAACATTGAAGTTGGAAACGCCGATGCTCCTGCATACCGCGGTGAGAATCGTACCTGTGTAAGCCGCGGAAATGCACGCACTTGATGAAGCCCTGGGCTTGAAGCTCCTCCATCTCCTTCCAGGCGGTCGGAATATCTGGGACGGCGAGCCGCGGGTGATGGATGAGGTACAAGTCCACATATGAAAGCCCCAGCTATGAGCGAAAGGTCAGCGGACACACACATGAATGAGGGAAGTATTGAAGGCATCCGGCACGCACATTCGCCAAACTCTCCTTGAGACTCTGCTCAATTCCTTTACCGTCAACACCTGAGTACTTCGTCGTTACGAAGACGTTCTCGCGCGACAAGCCACTTTCGCGAATGGCTATTCCCGCCTCGTATTCATTGCGGTAGGCCTGAGCGGTGTCTGTAATTGATTAACAGGGCAAGCAGATGTCAATCCATCAGCAACTAACCGACATGGTCAAAGCCAACACCAAGAGCCTGGTCGACCTGTGTAATTGGCGCGTCTCCGTTGCCCATTTTCCATGTCCCGAAGGCAAGACTTGGAATGGTACGTCCTAGCAAAGGCTTAGTAGCAACACACATGCACGACGACAGTGCGCACCGGTGCCATCGTTGAGTGGGATCTCGGTCCAAGGCATGGTGGTCGTCGGGTGAGAAGAAGGATAGTGTTGTGAGAACGGTCAAGGGAAGACATGCGAATGATGTGATTGATACGCCGCGTGGGCGAGAAGCCATACATCTGATCCGACTCTCCGAGGAACCAACAACGGCTTATTGCAAGTCAGGTCAGCCGATTGTATCCAAATCAAGGCTGCGGATTTTCCTATAGAATTACCAGATATGGTAAATTTCCGCGTCACGTGCACGGAAATCGGGGCCCATGATTTATGTAAAGATCGGCCCCCCATGATTTGGGCCTGTATCTGCCACAAAACAGTCCAGCTTCGGGCCGCCTTTCCCCCCCGAAACCCCGATGTGCTAGTGTCAACGTCCGGGACTCTGAGCAACTTGAAGTGGCTCTAGATATAAGACTGATGCAATTTGTGTACCGATTCCCAGCCCAAAATAAAATAAAATTTGCAATGAGATATTCAAGCTTAAGATACAGACTAATTATAAGTAAAGGAGAAATTAGGTTGTTCACCATATAAAATCAAGCCATAACCTTAAACTGTTACCAAAGGGATAGTCAAATTTTAAACATTTGTAGCTTTGCTAACCCAGGCAGTAAAGAATCTGAGTGTTTAAAGCAGTTAGCATATCTTGGCTAATCAGGAATAATTTTTTGACTGGTTACCAGTCACAAATTTTCACCATACTCCAAAACATTGGCAGTGTTGATTGAACATCCCTCTATACTGGATACATATCCAATGGCTGTTTGCTAATGGCCCAATGGTAGTGGAAAGATGACCAAAGATTGATTTGTTTTAAACAAAGCCAAAAACAATCTGCTGTCAAACTATATCCAGTGCAGCATTCACTTGACACCAAAATTTGGTCATGTTGCTCCTATAGAGCAGACAACCAACAATATTCTGGAGTTGTGTCCAATATTTTTTGTTAACAGTCATGTAGACCATCATGTTTTTGCAACCTTCTTTTAACAATAGAATCACATAACTCAATTACATAATACTAAGTATAATCACCTTGGCACCAAAGTAGTTATCTATACTTTCCCCTTTTACCCCCCCAATTACCTCAAAATATATTTGATTACCTCCCTTTACCTGGTGCACCTGTAAATTCTATATAACCCTTCTAGTTAGGAAGGGAGGTACAGCGCACCTCCCATCCTAATTAGAAAGAAACTGCTCAAACTTCCCACGCTGTATACTGCAATAAAATTGCTATAAAGTTCAGATCTAAGACCTTGGAGCAACAAGTCCACTCATGACTGATGTTTAAGATCATTAGGACTTTCCAAAAAAGGCAATTCTGCTCTCCAGACCGACACAAGTCCAATGAAGCATTGATATAACACTTAATATGTTATTGATCATGAATGATTAAATACTCTGGTAACTTGTGTTCAGTTCAGTGCCTAAGTCACGCTGTTAGTCACGCTGTTACACAAGTCACATAAGGTGACAAATCTCCAAAAAAAAGGAAAATTTCGCCATTTGACAGCACAATCACCAGAGAATGTCACAGATTGTCACAAAAGCAAAATTGTATATGTTGTGTATACAAGCAACGTTCATTAAGTAACCTATTGTGCCAGTTCAATGGTTATGCTAGCACTAGCCAATCACTAACTGATCTACAACTGATAAGTCTCTATCTCCATAACTACTTGAGGTAAAGACATGATTCAAGTACTACTAGGAAGCCTTTGAACAAGACCATTAATTGACCATGTTATTTGATCAATATCATACCATATGGTGACTGTATATAGTTCTCAGTCATAATCAAAGGAATATCTGGTACTTAAACCAATGTGTGGTAGGTGACTTATATGTTCAAATACTCCAAACCAGGACTCTGACATTTCAGTTTCAGATCCTGAGTGAATATGATACTAGCAATGCAATTTATTCACACATCAGTAGTATTTGATATCCATCAACCCTGAAAGATAACCATGGATCTCAAGCTAGTCAGGGCAGATAAAGCTGGGAGAGTGTTTATTTGAAAGGATATCATCCTACCATTATCCCATCTATCTAGCTATCTCATCTTGTACCATCACATTGACCCATGGACTGCCAAGCATGATTGCTTACTGAATTAATCCTTTCAGGCCTGAGGTGTCATATAACACAGGATGGAGATAAGCTAGAGGGTGAGGGGGCACCACTTTCTGGGAACTATACCATACCCCTACTAGTAGATATACTCAGATGGCATGACAGTCCTGACAGTCACAAAGGTCATGCCATGGTGAGCTTATCATCTTTGGGATAGATAACACTGATAATGGTACTGTGAGAGATCCAGAGCTATGAGGTTTGATTCAAGTGCTAGACAGGCTCATTTGAAAGTCTATACCATCCTACATTCAATTCTTGGATCATACTTGAAATTATTTTCTGACCAGTTGTAATAGCAAGGGCACTCTCTTTTGCTCTATGGGTACCTACCCTCTCTTCAGGTAGCTTTAGTGGCACAAGTGAACATCTAAATATCCTTATACACCCACCTCAATGTCCAGTACTCACCTACTATTCATGTAAACCAGTTCTGACCTCAACCTGTCTCTAAATGTCAACCCCAATTCATCCTCCATGGGCATTCAGAGATCAATCAATGTATATGGGGAGATCTACACTCCTCAGTGATGGAATTCTAGATATTTAGATCTATGATCAAGTCCCAGATGATAGCTATATTGCTAATATGATATGGAATGCCATTCAGATCGATATTGGAGAATAACAGCATATTACATGTATATGAGATGGTGTTAGGGATAGTATGTCATCAGAGGACCCCTCTGTATACTTCCTATCTTTACTCCATGAGGGGTACTTCACCTCTGGGTGAGTTATTGGGAGATTGACACCATAGAATACATGGCATATATAGAAATAAATAGGTTTCTCAGAGCCATGATGGACATTCATTAGTCTATAACACAACTTACATTATAATTATCCATGCATTACTCACCTAGATATCAAGTCATCATTGTGCTTGATTGAATTTAAAGCAGAAAAACTGTAGAAATGTGCTATAACCGTATAATGTAAGAGGTATAGCACTATCTTCATATCAGATCACATCAAGACAATATGATCACCTACCTACCAGTGAAACAATCATCTGAATTTAGAAAGAATGGGGAGAGATATTGCTTAATCAATAAGTCTGATGCACAATCATTACATGATATATATATACTGATGATATTGTATCATCAAGGATATCAATCTTACTACTTCATAGTACTTGAATCAGGAAGGGTTATGTAGGATTCATAGGTGCTTTACCCAACTCTACCTTTGTGGGAAGGTAAAATAAGGTCAATTGCCTAGGGAGGTTTTTCCTGACTGTTGGAGCCTCCCTCCAACTGTCATTAACTTTGCCGTATGATCATCCATTCCTATGAGGACTGCTGAAGTCCATGTTGGGGCATGTAGCTGGGCCTGATAGTCCATAGCAAAGTATGGGCTACATGTCAGGAACAGGGCCGGCCCGGGCCCACGTGATGGTCTCCTGCCAGTCTGACAAGTGTGGGAAAGATGGTTCAACCCCCATAGCTGGGTGGTCGGCAGCCAGGCAGCGTAGATGGTGCCACTGCTGCAATAGAGAGCAGGGTAGGGACAGCTCGGGGCGACTCGAGACGCCCCGCTGTCACGTTGTGTGACAGCGGTGTCACAGGATACGAGTAGTCGTCTAGAGTGTCCTACCCCTGCTGAAGGGAACGAGTCCATAGCCAAAGAGTGCTGCCTAGTAGAGTTGGTGCCCAAGGCATAGGGCAAGGCATAGGCTGGGCCAGTTGAACAAGCCGTTCGGGCGGGGCGTGACGTAACGCGGTCACGCCCGACGGTTCGGGGGGTCGAGGGGAGTCGCCCCGCAGCAGGGGCTGCGGGCCCGAGACCCCTGGAGCGCTTGAGAAGGGTTGCCAGTCCAAGGGCGACATATCTCCTTTCCTGGAGAAACGAGTCGCTGTGGCTCCTAGACACCGCGTGACTGCGCGGTGTGACGCGTGACATGCGGGCCCGATCGGGCCCGCACCCCCATCGCCCCGTACCAGGGGAACCCAGAGCTTGAGGCCAGAGAGCAAGAAGAAGTGGCTAGGACAAGGGTGAACATAAGAGACAAGAGCCTGAGCTGTCCAGCCCAACCAAGGGCTCAGGTCAATGAGGCAAGCTAGCCTGGAGTGTTGGAAGTCGTCTAGACGCCCCTTTCCTGGGGTATGGTCGCAGCAACCCCGCTCTAGGGGACCAGGCCGGAGTAGGGTTCAAAGGAAGAGACTTCAATGCTAAACCTAAGGTACAGGAGTAATACTGTAGTCTTTATATACTGTGGGCGCTAGGGGCCGATCGGGCCCGCTGAGGGTCGATCAGAAGGGAGCAGGGGATGTCTCTGGTCGTCCCTGGTCGCTCCGCTAGGAGCCCAGGGACCATTCCTCTGGAAAGGAGCCATGCCAAAGTCGACACTAAGGAGTGTTTGGCAATGCAACAGTAAGGAGCTCCCTCCTGATCCCTGTGGTTGTCTGGGGCCGATTGGGCCCGCTGTCAAGGGCGTCCGGCGGCGCATCATGATCCCTGATGGCGGGTCATGATGGCTTGATGGCTGACTAAAGCGCGATCCGTGATTATGTCCCTTCTCTGGGATATTAGTGTTGTTGCTCAGTGCTTTGAGCTTGTGAATATATGAGGGCTTGTCAAGCCCTAGGGCTCTAAGGGTGGTGAGGGCCCGATGGGCCGTATAGGGCCCGTTGGCCCGACCCGAACCCTGACACTACAGGCCACTGTTCAAACCATGACCAGACAGGATCTATTCAGTAATAACTCTAATTAGAAGGTTTTTTTTTTTTGATTCCAGGCCAAACCCACACACAAACACACACACACACATACACGGACCGCAGTGAGGGCAGGGGGCATCGGACACTGCACCACATTATACTTAGGGCTGTCTAGAGCCAATACAATCTTAAACATTCCAAGATTATTCATTTCTC